CCATGGTGCTCGTGTACTGTTCCCATGTTTGAAGCTAAGCCGCCACATGAACAAATTAGACACGTGGTCCAGTGAAACGATTCGAGTAGTAATAGGAATTCTGAAGGCAACCCAAACATCGATCCTGGCGCATAATGAACCCCCTCACCTCTGGAAAGGTGAGCAGGTGCGTCACATTTTCCAGAATACTGATAAGATTCACCAGTTACCCATCCATGGTGTCCTGCCACAGCCACCAGCACGACGCCGAAAATCGCGCCACCCATCATGGGAAAGAGCGACGCCTCTGAGTTTCGATGAACAGTGGTGAGCAGGGTGGGATGCTACAGCCGTCGATAACAAAAACCTAATCTGCAATCTGACCACAAAAGCCTCTGGCATGGACTTAGTTGGCGCATAATGGTCGAGGTTAAAAAGGATTCGAACAGGACGATTGCGCAGCGTACACACACTCCATCGTTGTAATATGAGGCACAGCCCGCAGTGTGAATGCGGCCATGAATATGATGCAGCACAGTAATTCCGAATGCCCGCTTTGAAAGTTCGATGGCAATGCAGCCGATGTCCAGAATACTACCACGGCGGCCAATTACTCGCTTAGAAATCTTGGTGCCATAAAGTTGCTAGTTATCTCTCCCAGCCATACAACGGAAGAGTGGTGATTTCGTCTGTAACACAGGCAAGGGCATCGTTGGTTCCTAGCTTTATTCTGTAGGTGAACTACCGTTAATCAATCGTAGCCTCAGATCCATCTCCAGGATGAGCAGAGGAAAGCTCTCTAATCATTTAGGGAGAGTGCAAATTAATGCAATGGTCTGGAAAGAATCGAGGCTGACTACAGCTGATGACCTCTTCTTTGGCACCGTAACTATGGCTATTATACCTCACGCACTGGGTAATAAGTAGGTTTCGCAAACAGCAGTTAAACAGAAACCGAACAACATGGCACAGTCCGGCTGAACAAAGTTTGAGGTGACTCCATCAATACCGATAGATACATTCCAGCGGAGATTCTCAAGACTGGATCTGATCTCCTATATGCGGAATTAAACCGGATAGTACAAGGAAAGAAGGGTAGTCTGAAAGTCTTGAAATACAAGTCTGGACAAGTTTTCATCGAGGATGAGGATATTATTTCGCGATAGAGTACTATTTAAAAAAAAACTCTAACTCTGAACAACCGCAGAAAGGCTTGCCTGAAAAGAAACAGAGAACGGATAATAGTGTCTTTATACATGAAATCACACGAGCCGTGAAAAGCATGAAAAATGGAAAAGTGGGTGGAATCGATGAAATCCGCCCTGAACGGCTTAAAGTATTAGGCGAGCAGGGCATGTGTTGACTTACGCGTGTCTGTCAGACTGCAGCGGATATGGGAAAGACACCAGCAGACTGAAGAACAGAGACTGTGGTAACCCTGTTTAAAAAGGGAGACCATAGTGAATGCCCTAATTATTTGAGCATTACCTAACTGCGCCTTCAGAGCAAGTCTATCCAAGGGGGTTAGGAAGGATGTACCGCGGAATAACTGACTCCAAAATACAAGAGCTGGCTTCCAGTCTGGCCGAAGCCCATCTGATCCAATATTCGTTCTACACCAGACTGTTGAAAAATTCTGGTAGTTCGCTCATCCAGTTTGCATGCGCTTTGTAGATCTGGAGAAAGCAATGACCGGATCCCGCGCAACAATCTATGGGCGTGTCTAGAAAAATACTGGATCGATGGCGAGTTGCTACGAACCAGGCAGTCACTATGTGTTGATAGCAGGTGCTGCGTCAGTGTAAATGGTTTTAAGTTGAGAATTTTCAGCGTTGGAACTGGTCTACGCTAAGGCTGAGTTCTGTCCGCTCTCCTGTTTGTTTGTGTATGGATAGAGTAGTCAGCCGTAGCCAGAGCGATGAGTGCATCATTGTAGGAAATGAGGAGTCGAGAAAGTAACTGTTTACAGACGACCTTGTTTTGTGGGCATTTTCTGAAACTGATCTCCAGCGTACTCTGGAAAAGTTCGCAGAAGAGTCGACGCGGCCGGCATGCATGTGAACGAATAAAAAACGAAAAGTCTAATGCTTTTTCGTTGTCCTGTGCGTTGCTCTCTTCAGATTAACGTAGAGGCAGTGAAGCAGGCTGAGAAGTTCAAGTAGCTGGGAGTCGTGACTAGAACGACGTGGCGGACATATGTATGAATCTATTGAAAGCGAAAAGCTTAGTGCTTTCTCTTTCTCCTACCATTACACTCAGCAGATAAACGGAAAAGCAGTGAAGCAGGTAGAAAATTTCAAGTACCTCGGCGTACATGGTGATGAAATTTGGGAGGAAGGGATCGATCAATGGGTTGGAATTGCCAGTGGCATTCTGCGCGAACTAGGCGGAACCACTATGAATAACGCAGAGCTGCGTCTGAAGATTAAACTCTCGGTGTTCACGGCGATTTTCATCTCCAAACTTATCTACGATCATGAACTGTAGACTACGACTGAAAAACTTTGATCCCAGGTACAAGCGGCTGAAATTGGCCTTCTAAGACGAACTGATCTTACGAACTGGCCTTAAGCCTCGACATGATCCAGAGTACAAAAATCAGAGAATCCTGATGCACACCTGCTGCTTCTTGAAATTCCAAAGTCATGGATGCGATGGACTGGGCAGGTGTTGCGAATGACTTCGGAAAGGAAGGCGAAATGACTAAGACTTACTCTGCTGACCGGTAGAAGACCCAGGGGACAGCCAAGATTAACCTGATGCAAGTGTACTGAATGAGTGTTCTCCCGACTTCGGTTGTCTTCTGCCGAAATTCAAACGTTGGCACAGGATCGGCAATGTTGGAATGCGTGTCTCTACGACTCGAAAGTAGAAGCAGTCGTGAAAGCAAGTGAAGTGAAGGGACGGCCCCATTTACTAGCAAGAGACGTTTTTAAGCGCAATGATTTCATGCACAGTTTCAAGGTGCAACCGTGTTTCCTGAATTAGAATGACGTGGGTGTTACTGAATAAGCTACGTTCTAAGTAGCTTTTAAGTTCATCCCTTTGGCGTAAGATCGAACTGTAATTTGCTGTGATAACAGATGGAAGTCGCAAAACCTGAAACTGCAGCGGTCTGGAAACTACCTATACGTCCGCGTTTTGTTCTGAGGTGTCGCAGAAATTTTTCAGTTGTAATCGATGAGTCCGGAGTCGCCTGTATGAGTAACGTTTGAGAATCCATCTGACATGTCAACGATGAATCAGTAAAATAAATGAGAAATACAGGGTTCCAGCGCACTGGATGCTGCAACTAATGTTCACCGATGGTGATGAGCTGGTGAGCCGAAAACACTGGCAAAAAACTGACCACTCACACCGACACACACCATTTGAATGGACAACTTGCGGAGAGGCTCTTGTTTTCAGATCTGATGCCTTTTCATTAAGGCAGCGGAGTCACTGCAGTGATTCAGATGTAATGTACTGCGCTTTCACCTGATGCTTTACAACTGGAGATAAACAATCAAAACTGCCTTTCAAGACTGCCGATTCTGTTATCTGTCGCAACTAGATCTTTCTGGCCACGCGGCAATGGTGAGAAACTAGGCCAATGAAAGGAGCTAAGAAACCTCCGCAGCTTTTGGACGTTGCGAATGTCCCTGCAGAGAACGATGCGATGGAAGGACAAGGTTGTCCAGTGCTGTGTGTAGATTTTCGCTGATCGATAGTTTGGAAGCTTGGCAGAGTGCTAGGGGAAAGAATGCGTCAATGTGCAATCAATGGGATCAATTTACATAATGCAACTTTGTTATAAATTCTACGCCAGGTGCAATGTTAAAGCCTAAACCAGAAGTAGTGTATAACATGAAATTTTGAATGTAACTATATTATGTAAACTGATTTGTGGATAGGCAGCGTGTATCCAACAATATTCCCATGCGATTCCGTTCTTCTGCAACAGGTGAATCTGTCCAGATGTATCACGTTCGCTCGTTCTATGTGGCAAACAGCGTTCGACGCTAGCCCTGAAAAGTATTATTCTCCCTTTGCAGTTTTTCAAGATCTATGTTCATAGCCAGTGAGGATTCTGGGTCCGTCACCAATAAAACATCAAATTCTGTATGGTTTCTGCAATGAGAAATATGTCCGCTGAGTGACTGATTGGCCCGAAATAACATTAGAGGAGAATTCTAAGCCATCCGTTTCAGGATTCATGACAGGTCTTCACGGTAACCGAAGAGGGGGAGGAGAATGCACTTTAAAGTACTTCATCCTGTAAAGCATTCCCTTGCGTTGAAGGTTGTCCGGTCCTCACGTCTCAGACGGAAAGCTGAACTTTAAAAACCGTTTATTATACTGCCATTATGATCGCTTATTCGCTAAGATTTAATGCCTAAGAACTCAACGTACGTAAATACTTTTTTTTCAAAACAAAAACTGAAAACGTCTACTAAGCAATAAAAAAACAACCACTGTATGACAATGATTGAACAATTATCAACATGAACCAAACTTACTCTGTTACATACGTGACCGCAGAGTTCGCAAAGCGTTGTATGGTCCGCGTCGATTAAATCCTGCTGTTGAGGTTCAGCAGGTAAGGCCTGCAATTGGGAACGCTGTTTCCTGCGTCTCTTTCTATGTGCCTGCTTCAACAATGTTTAGAGGTAAGCAACTACCCAAAATGTAAGACTATACCAGTTCCGCAGTACTACGACCTGAATTCATATCCACATAATGATGCACGCTCGATTCAGCAGTCGTCCTCCACTGGTGATCAGTTTCGTCCTAATCAAAACATGAAAAAAACGGAACATTTCACTGTATTTTAAGTTTGAATATTTACCAGACACGTTGATGTAAACCGCTGCCGCTCACTGACCAATAAGATTCGGTTTTTTATCGTCGCATTATTATACATCCATTGGTTCAGAATGCCACTGGCTGCAAAATGTAGTTCCTGGGACTTCATTCTCGTTAACTATGAGTAAAACTAAACAGAAGAAACTAAACTGTAGATATCACCACTAAATCATGAGCAACACAAATAGTACAACATTAAGCTGCACGGTCTCGCGTAATCTCCTGTCAATTCTGCAAATTTACACGGGCGTAGGTAAGGAAACGGTGCGACAACGTCATGTAAACCTGAAGAAATGACATGACTTTTTATTCTTACAGGCAGCATGGAAAGCTAGTACTCTGCAAGTAAATCCATATCAGGATAAGTGCTATATACGTTAAGCATACCATGTAAAACAAAACTATTCTATGCCCTTTTCAATACCTGCTGTGAGCGATATTATCTTAAATCATACAGAAAAATTAGGCACCGTTTGAAGTAAGAGAACCTTTCTGTAACAAAATAATCAGGCGGTGTAACTGATCTTATGTGTCTTAATTTACATTCTCACCTAGTTTTATTTAGGGAAATGCGTCTTCCGCTCACCATCTGGGCGGTTGTAAAGCGCATTCAGCAAACATCACATAACCGTAGACCCCACAACCTCTGCCATGATCACATCAGAACAGTTCGCAGGTAACATAACTGTCACCTATTTCTTTCCTGGTAACGCCGTGACAGTAGAAGCACCATATGCTAAAAGAAATTAG